TTTTTTTTTTTTTTTTTTTTGGCTCGTTTGCTTACCTCCACCCGGCTTTGTCGGCGAGGACGCCTCCAATGATGGGACCGATCATGGGAGCGACCAATGGTCCGAGATAAAACAGGCCAAAGGCAGATCCACGTTCGCCGCTATGAAAGACGTCGCTCAGGGATCCGCCCCCAACGGACAAGACAGAGCTGGAGCCGAAAGCCTGGATGGCACGCATGACAAAGAAGACCCAGATGTTCTTTGAGAGGGCAGCGCAGAGCGAGCCGAGGATGAAGATCAGCATGGAGGAGAGGTAGATGGGTCGTCGACCATAGTATTCGCAGAGCGATGCCCAGAAGACGGGCATGATCCCCATGAACAGGACATAGATGGACACTACAATGAATAGAATGCGATCGATTAAAAGAGGGTGAGAAACAAAGGCACAGTTCGATCTGGGGGTGTCTGTGACAGAGACATTCTCTTCAGGGGAGTCAGGGGGGGAGGGGAGGGACAAGAAAGGAAAGAAGATCGACGCACGCAATGCAATTGGTAGCAACAGCAGCGATGATGATGATGATGAAGGTATGACCGAGCGGAAAGGGTTTTGCCGAGATGAATACTAATGTGATGATGGGGCGGATCAGAGAGAGAACAACATACGGGTGGCAGAGACGAGGGAGGACGTGGTGTTGAGGTCCTGCTTGACCTGAAGGACCGCAGGCATGTAGATACTGGAGGCCAGGGGGCCGACAAAGGCACAGTAGGCGATGATGAAGACGACGACGTTCTTTTTGGATCTCGGCCAGTTCTTTGGGTCGTCAGTGCGTGGGGCGGGGAGCACCAGGTCCCTGAAGTACGAGGGGATGGGCATGTTTGGGCTGGCGTGCTAGGGTATGGACTGGGGAGTAGGGACCGCACTTTGAGAGAGAGGAGGAATGAGGAGGAGGGTGTGGATGGGGAATGAGGGGGATGAGGAGACTGGGGAGTGGGATGGAGCGGTGCTAAAGTGAACGGTGGGGCGGTTTAAATACGGGGGAGGAATAGAACGGACGGAAGAAGGGTAAACTGCAGAGGATTTTCCAAGATAGACTACAGGCGAGTTTAAAAGGGACGGCGCAGGCGGGGATGCAAATCGCTTATAAAGACTCACCCCATCTCAAGGGAAGCACCCATGGGTCCGCCGAGCCGAGTCGCCAGTGTCTCTGTCGATGCTCCTGTGCATGCCACAGACTGGGTGTAGGAGAGCATAGGCTGTCGGGTGCCTCGTCAGCCATCTCCCCCACACTGCGCGTCCTTTCCCCCATGGGGATGTACAAGTACAGGTGCATGGTGCCCGCCTGCCTCCATCGAATAGACTCCGTGTAGACCCTTCTTACTCTTCTTTGAGCTCGGATCAAACTACAACCTTATTTCACTCAAGGTGGTCAAGCTTAGGATAAACTACTGCCGAAGTGGTCTCTCCTCTCCTGACGACGTGCGTAAGTGGGGCACGATCCTCTTGTTCTCGGCTATATCCCCATCTGCAGGCCTCGCCCTGCGCCATATCGACCAAAGCAAACGCGCTCGTTTACCCGTTCCGCCCATCTCAACAGCACCTCCTTCTCTTTCCCTCTCCCCCACAGTCTGCCTTTGCGGTTGAGACACTCTTTCCTCTGTGCACAAACAAGGCTGGTGGTGTGCACGTGACTTAAGATACTCGAGAAGGGGGAAATAAACTGTCAACAAAAGAAACGCGTCCAAGCAAACCACCTACACCGCAGCATCCTCTCACCTCGTCGTCATCACTGTGCGGACCCAACCTTCTAAGCACCCAACCCCTCCCATCCTCGCACCAGCCGCCGAAGCCCTCCCCATGGACTCGCCATCCATCCAAAGAAACCTCCTGGACTCGCCCAGTGTTCACGCACAGCAGCTGCGGGACAGAATCTCCTCAGAGTTCAGGCTTCCCTCTCCTCCACCAGCAGAACCCCAGCCTCGGACCAGTAACGAGCACAGAGACTTGTCAGCCTCGGCTTTCATCCCCCTGGCACAGCGGAAACGACGACTCGAGGAGAATTCCTCCACAGTTCGTCCTGAGGTACGTGGCTAAGCATGGCATCACCCACCCCATTCATTTGAATGCACAGTTCAGCACATTCACACTTTTCTTCTCCCCGGAACTAGCCTGCGAAACGGCAGCTAACAGAGCCTAGATCCCCAGTGCTCCTCACACGCACAAGAGCAAAGCCAGCGTAAGGCGTACCCAATGCTGTGCCATATGCTTAAGCGAGCAGAGCGGGTCGCAAGCTATCATTCGAAATGAAACTGACCAGACGCCCATTTCATCTGTATAGTCCTCCACTAAAGGAAGACCGCGTTTTGCAGGATATCTCCCACAGAGGCGGATACAAGGCAAACAAAATCGACAGGAGGGTATGTTCAACACTTCGTTCGCACCCACACCATTGACGCCCGCACCAGAAACCCAACACTAACACACGGGCCATATCTCTTTCACTAGATTTTCGAGAGCTCCGGCGACTTGGGTGTGCCCAAAATTACAAAGCCGGCACTGACAGTTCCCAAATCACCCTCCTTCACCAAGCGCACCCACCCTGCTCGTCCAACCTCAACTGCCACGACTTTCAAATCCCCTCCACGCCATGCATTGCCGCAACACCAGCACTATAGGAAGTTCCGCCCAGTCATTGCCCAGCAGGGGTTGGTTTCATCCGCAGAATCCGCAAGGAGACTTAGTCAGGAGAAGCTGAAGCGTTCGATCAAACCGGCTGCTACGACCGTTCCTCAACCAGACCCTTCGCGCTCACGTGGCGCGAAGCCTGAGCTCACAATCCCCAAGCCCTTCAAACTCGAAACGGATGCGAGGGGCGAGCGATATCAGGAACAGTTCCGGTTTAAACTCGACAAGTGGAAGCAAATTGAGAAGGACCACCAATTCAAGGCTCTCCCGTTGCCTGTTTATCCAGAAAAGTTTGTGCCAGCGAGGTCAACAAAACCCCTGACGCATACAGAACCTCCTCGCCTCCGGACGGATGACAGGGCGCATGTACGGGAGGTCTTGGAGCAGGAGAAACAGCGCAAGGGAAAGATCATGCAGGAGATGAGGGCCGAGAAGGCGCGCGAGGATGAGGTAAAGACCCTCCCCAGGAAGTGCCCCGTCGAGTCTTGGACGATAAAAAAAAAAATAGCGTCTGATGAAATGGCGCTTCTCACATAAAATCGTCTTCTGATCTCTATCCATGTTTTGTTTGATGTACTGTATAGCTGCGCGAGCAACAGGAGCTGAGAGAGCTGCGCCTACGACTGGTTCCACACCCAACGCCGATCCGCGACTATCCTCGTATCGACATCCACAAATCAAGTCGGCCACTCACCGTACCCAGGTCCCCTAGTATCGGAGAGAAGCGGAAACGGCAAATGACACTGGAGAGAGAAGTACCGGATGCACAGGCAGAGGAGGGCATTCATCGCCAGGTTTCGTCCATCGTCGACGGCAAGAGAAGGCGGGAAATGACTCTGGAGCGGGAGGTTCCGAGAACATCGGAGGAGCGCCACTACCACTAAGATAGCTGATTTTCGTCATCATTGAGAATGAATCCTTCATCAGTGCAGTGCGGTGCTTCCTTTTTTTCTTTTTCTTTTTTTTCTCTCTCTCCCGCTCGTTTCATATACCCAGTCCAGTGTGTCCAGTGCGTGTCCGATTCCTTGTCATGCCATACTGGTTAGTATTATTATCTGTTGTTTTATTTTCATCGTATTTTAGTTTCTGTAACATCTCTCAAGTCTATGTCCAGTAAATCTTCAATTGTTTTCTTTCATGGAATGCTTTCGCATGGGATAGAGCGCCAGAGAAGAGGGGCCAGGAAGCATGACCCCTCCTCTTACCATATGCAAGAAGAACTGCCAAGACAGAGAAAAAAAAAGCTGAGCAGACGTGCTTTGTTGCCAAGAGAGAAAGAGAGAGAGAGTCGGTCTAGTAGATAACAAAGAGCCTGTTGGATTGCTGCTGCATAGTCATTGGGGGGAAACCCCGAACGCAAGAGAGCGTCCCAGGGACGTTGTTACTCTGGGATCTGAAAGGCGCGACGACATAGAACAAAGAGGTAAGACAGAAAGATGGATGCTGGGTTACAAACGCGTCGAAGCTGTGTGAACTCTTTTTGTGTCTTTCGATCATTCTCATTTACTTTGTGTAACGCGAGCATTCTGCGGACTGATTCTTTTCTAGCATTTTTTTTTTTAGATAAACCCTGGTTTTTTTTCTTCCCCTCTCTCTCTTTGCCTCGATGACTGCTTGATTCATAAAGCAGCAAAAGGAAGGGACTGACCCGGGCATTTTTGTACTTAGAGGGACCCCCCTCACCTCGCACTAGCTTGAAAGACGATCTCCAGTAGTGCCGTCACTAGCCCCTCCCAAGATGTCATCATGATCTACAAACGATGCTAAACTGAAAGTCTGATAAAAGAAATCTTTCGACTCTTTAGTAGCCTTCTTTATTCTTTTTTTTTTTACTGTATGATGTACATATATACAGGTTGCTCTGGATGTGTCCGGAGTCATCGCGCCTGCTGTGTGTGTGTGTGTGTGTGTGTGTGTATCATCCCATCGCTCGAGTGGTGTAGGGCGGGGGGCAGGAAATCGCCAGTTGAGCTGGAAAGGAGCGGCTACTACTGATATTGCTCACTCGATGTAGGGCAATTCGCTTTGGTTGCCAGACCACGACCCGCTACGAGCGTTTCCTGAAGCCTAAGTGTTATTTCATTTTGAGACAAAGAGCCGGTTGGTTATACGGAATAAATGTTGGATGCGCAGACGGTCTTCTATCATGCCATGAGATGTGCGCAACGTTCAAAAATTCAAAAGGTAATCAATCCCTCTTCCACCGCCCGCCCTCTTACCTTCTGTCGGTCCGCATCAGACATGCGACGACTCTGCTGCATATCCCGATCGAGCTGCACGGCTGAATTGGCCTGCTCCAAGTCGATCCCTTGCTTCGCATCCTTGGACGATAGGGTCTTGTCGTCCAGGTTCAGATCGTCGGTACTCTGTTGGCTCGCCTGCTGTTCTCGTGTGGCCTGGTCAAAGGTCTCGAGGGACGAGTGCGTCGAATGGACAGTGGTGGGTTGGCTCCCCTGCTGCTGCTGCTGCTGCTGCTGAGAGGGAGACTTGTTGCTGTGTGAGGTATTCATTGTGTGTGAGTAGGGGGAAAAGAGAAAGAGAAAAAGGTGGGGAGAAAAGGAAAAGAAAAAAAGAGTTTGAGGGCTCCTTTTAAGATAATGCAAAAAATAAATAAAAAAGGGTTCAGTAGCACACGGGCCATGTGCTCAGTGTGGCATCACAGTCCCAATTTCGAACTTTATTCCAGAGCGCACAAGGAGCCGTCCTTCAGTAGACGCGTGGACGCGTAAAAACGCGTACAAAGAACAAAAGAGTATCCATAAGTATCACAAGAAGATCGGTTTAATTCGCGGCCTTCTCGTCCGCGCGCTTGCGGTCAGACCATCCCATTTTCACCACAAAGTGGACCCAAAGACCATCATCCTCCGCGTCCTCGCTTCCGGCGCTGTACTGAGAGTTCAGATTCGACACGGATCCTTGCTGTTGGCCGCCAGCTGGATGGGGTCCTGCGTTGATGTTCACATTCGCGTTCAGATTGGCATGCTGCTCATTATTGTGGTATCCCTGAGCTGCTTGCTGATGTTGGGGAGCTAACGGGAATGGAGGACCGATGTTCGGGAACTGTCCGCCTCCGAGGCCTTGGGCTGCCGGGTTCTGTCCATTGTTGCCGTGCTGGCCGTGCTGCTGTTGCTGTTGCTGCTGCTGCTGTTGATTCTGCTGTTGTTGCTGTTGTTGCTGCGGTTGCTGCGGTTGCTGTGCGTGACCTTGTGCGGGGTTAATGAGGGGCGACATCGAACTATGGAAGGCCTCCTGCGGATAAAGGCCTGGCTGGTTCTGAGCCGTCTTTGGAGGATGATCGCGAACCTGTCTTGCCACCCGGGTAAGGTAGCTCCGATACCTGTATCCCCAGCCCTCGTTCAGCTTAAACGTATCCTCCCCGCTCATGTCGTCCTCGGATGCGATCTTCTGGGAAGAACGTGATTGGAAACTGGAGGATGGCATTTCTGGGGTCGACGGCGCAGAAGAGGCCCCTGCTTCGATGTTTCCTAATCCGAATCGAGGGCGGAATGCATCGCTGGTGTTGCTGTTATCGAAACGATGTGTGTTATACTCACTCCCCCGGATCTCCTCCAGACGCCCCTGCGCGGATGCTGCAAAGTACTGTGGCGGCTCAACCACGTTGGTGGTCATGTAGATCCGGTAGTTGCATGTCAACTCCCGCTGGCGGCTGTAAACGCTTGAACAGTCGGCATTGGCACAAATATTCTCTGCGCTCTGTTGGTTCGGAATCACCGGTGTTCGACGGGTGGGCTGTCCTGTTGCTGCGGCCGATGTCGTATGCTGATCGCCTCGCAGCGCAGCAAGAATGCCTGTTGCACTCGGCCGAGTCGACCTTGACCCTCCCATGGTCCGTCCTCCTCCTATACTGGGCACCACACGTGGCATAGGCGCGGAGCTCAAGAAGATCCCGACCTGTCCGTCCGAGTTTAGGTTGTTTCCTACCTGAATGCTCCACCAGCTGCCTCCATAAAATGTCGAGGTCGTGAAGTGCTTTCCGTCTGTCATGAGATCCCGGCGACTGATATAAAGAGATGTGCTGAATCGCATGGGTAGCAATCCGTGCGAATTGCTTGGCAAGGACACAGGAGCCGGTGAAGCCGGTGACAAACCAGGCATTTTTTTCTTCTGGAATCCCGCCACTGATGGTGCATGTCGCTCGCGATGGGTCTGATCTGCTCCATGGTGCCGTCCTTGATGGGGCGTATTGATGTATGGCGGCGTCGGGGATGTACTCACGGCGATTCGCCGCAAGAGATGTTGTCTCCAAAAGGCATCCTTGATCCGTGATGGTAGAACCAATCCGTCGCTTAGGACCTGGTTGAGCTGATCGAACGACATGTGCGTGTAATGGATGCTGTGGTGAAGTAGGTACATGAGTACCAGCAGGTCGCGGACCTGGTGTCGAGGAAATGTGTCGGACGTGATCGACATTGCAGACAGCGCAGGCGAGGAGAGAGATGTCCCAAGTATCGGTGATTGAGGCGCGGTTCTGCTTCCAGACGTTGCTGGTTGATCCGCTGTTGTTTGTTCACCATCGTCCTTTGAGTCAATAGCCTTTGGTGTCCGGTCCGAGGTAAGTGCCAAGGTCGCCAGCTCGATTGTTGGCGTCGCAGTCCCATCATCGCCCACAATCACTTTGGCCGTGCTTACCTGAGAGCTTCTCCGGCGTAGCTCCTTGGAGGTCGTGATCCACTCATGATCCGAGTCCACTGCGTCCTCATACTCGGCAGTCGAAGATGGTTCCCAGTCCTGCAGATTGGCCAAAAATGTGTCCGAGGTCAGTTCGTCCGACCATGTGCCGTTGTCATCGAGATCCTTTAAAACCATGAACCAGTCCTGGTCATGATAATCGTGCACCCAGTCCATCAGCTTGTCCGTATCAAGATTCAGTCGCCGGAGCATGATCCCTTTGACCAGTTGGTAGCGCTCATATTCGTTCGGGACCCAGAGCGATTCTGCCACAAGGGTCTTAACCAGCCCCGCTATGGGCATGTCGGGCGATATCAGCATATCCTGCAAGACCGTCGACTTGTAGGTGTACCAGAAGAACTGATAAAAGCAGTGGGCGAGAATGATGTCCCATGCTCGGCCATTGTTAAGTTTCCAGGCGTATCCCATGTAATGGATGAGGCCGCGGCTGTCCCGGATCCGACGCGCGATATCGCTGCAGATTTCCTCAGTCAGGGCCGAGATGTTGAGATAAGACGCAGCAGCGTACATAGAGATCAAGAGTTCGTCAACCTTATCTGAGGGATCCGTCATAATGTTATCGTACCGGAGAGAAGAAGCGGTACCCATTCCACTGACGCTCGATTTTTCAGAGTTGGCCGCAAGATTCACAGCACTCCCACTCCCATGATGTAGCCCCAAGCCATGCCTGCCGCCTTCAATTGGAGCCGAGCTTGATAAAGGCCATTGCGATTGGTTCGATAGATTCGAGGCTTTACCGCCCAATCCCATGGCTCGACCACCACCCGCGTTGTTTGTTTTGAAAGGAAGGGGAGCGGATCCCTCAGTGTAATGAAAATCAATTCCATAGAGCCAATGGATAATCCTCTGGAAAGACTGCAAGGTTACGTAGGGATCGTCGAACTGGATCGTGATGGACTGGCGGGACTTTTCAATCCAGTCTCCTTGGCCGAGGACCAGAGAGCGAAAGTAGCCAGAGCGGAGGAGAATGAGACGATGGAGATGGAAGGTCTGTCCAAAGGCCACGACGGTGATATCGGACAATTGCTGGTCACGGAAGGCGACCAGCATATCCTGAGCCAGTGAGCCCGCTGCCGTCGACATGGCTACTGCTGTTCAATGGTTATAGGAGGGGGCCAGGCTTTGTGTTACTTATAGTTTATCGTTTTTAAGCAAGTGTTACAAACGTCCGTGAAGCAGCCTTACGTTATGAGTAAACAGACGGAGTGCACACTTTATTGGTTTGAAAAAGATACTGAGGCAGGTTAGTTTGTAGCGAGAGCAAGTTGGTAGATGAATGATGGAGCTGTTCAGCAGGCGGTTGATGGCGAGGAAGTGCGAAAAAGGTTTGTGGAGAAAAAGTGAAGCTCTTAATTGAAGCCGGTCATGGTACCCCTAGAGTGTCCGAATGTCCTCAACAAGTCACAAAATTCACTGTTTCATACCGCATTCAAGCATGTCGCCCTCAGTTCGACACTCTTCCGTCTCGTTGATGGAGAGACCACGCGTACCGTCGACCACCTTAAAAAACTCATCAGGCGGAGAAGGTTCCTAGATTTGATGATATCGCTGCCGATGAGCTTACCCTCTAGAAGATCTCGCTCCCGATCGCCAATGACAAACAGGGATCCCCCATCTTGCCTGATGCACAAAGCGAGGAGGGACTTGGCCCTGCAACTCACCTTTCCAAGGTATTTGCAGAGGAGCCGGCTGAAGAGACTGTGCAGATCCTTGCGCAGCGTTCAGTGCCCCCAGTGAAAGGTAAGAATCAATGATGGATCTTCTAGGATGTACTCCTTTTACTCAGTCTTTTTTCCCCTGTTTTTTTAGCACCATTGGTATTATGTTGTGTGACATTCACGGCAGTGCTTGAAACATTCAACCGCAGGAAATTCTATTGGGCCATCAACATGGAGACGATAACTATGTCGGAACTGCAAGACGGTATCAAGCATTTATACCCTGAACTTGACGGAACAGGGACGATTGCGGTTCGATATAGGAACGACGGTGGCCAACCTGCCCTTGTTGCCAATCCGACTGACAAATTTCTCAGGGATATATTGAAATGAATTCATGCTTCTGGATTTGAAAACGTTGTCGTTGTTGAGACCCTCAGCAAGCCATTCTCAACGTGCACGCTCATCAACATCAACAAACGGTTTGGATTTTTCAAGTACTCAGATCTCACTCTGTCTGACATCGCGCCATTTGAACCTTTCGCCAATATTTCCGAGTTCACGGACCGGCAGGGCGAGGCTCTTGAGCGGCTGTACGGCGAACTTCAAGCGCGCAAGAAATGTTCGATTCTTGACAGCGTCAAAGGAGTCTTTCCTTGTTCAAGCAGTGGGTCTATTTGCAGACGATCTGAAACTCACTGCAGGAAAAGGGATCAAAAGCAAGCAAGACCAAGCGGCACAAGAGAAAATAGTATTAAAGCTCAAGGGCAGACATTGCTGCTTCCAAAGTGGCACTCGACTCTTTTTTTTTTTTTTTTTTTTTTTACTTACTGACTGGATTCATGGCTACCGGCTTATCGCAGGACAGTGAACGAGGTAAGCAGCACAGATGGAGCGAATGAATCTACGGATTGCCTAGTCATATACCCTCCTATCGAAAAACCAAGACCATGGGGAGATTGCCCATTGGGTACAGGACAAGGACATACACTTTTATTCGCGTCCTCAATGACAACAAACATCGCTTCTAATGGTTGGCGCTCAGAGCAAAAAACACTTTCCTGTTGAGTGGACGTTTAAGAGCTATGCGCACCTCGAGATTTTCAGTACCCTTAGCCCGTCACAAGAACAAGCGAGACTCAGAATAATCCAACATAAATTGAAACTCCCCAGACTTTTACCATCTATGCCATGCACACATTTCCGAGATGAGCAACCGTCAGAATCCTAAACAAGTCAGCGATGGTTATGGACCAATGTTCTCCCAGACGAAGAATACAAGAGACGCAGGCAAGACCCCTCGCACTCCTTCACCCGAGCCAGTACCCAAAGGAGACGATTTAATCCAATTGACGGGTGACTTCGACAAGATTACAATCTCCGACAACAATCGACCTGGTAACAGTAGGCAAAGTGATACCCAGGGCAGACCGCTGTATGTTCCTGATACCTGGCTGTTTGCGGGCATCCCAGCAGAGGCCGAAGAGCGCTACAATCATAACGGACTTCCGCTCTGCCAAGGACTCGTCGCTTCGAATGAGCTGTGTAAAAGAGATGGCATCAATGAGATGTTTGGTGTAGCAGGCGTCGAATACTATTGTCATCAGCACGACCCACAGAAACGCCACAAACAGTGCCATGCATTCGTCAAAAGAGAAAAAGGAAAAGAAAGAAGGCGGTGCAAAATGATTTGCTCGGATTCAGAACTCCGTGATGGGGGCCGCTTTATTTGCAACAGGCATTTCAACTTCGGTGCAGTACTCATCGCTATATAGAGTGAATAAAATATCTACCTTAGCAAAGCGCTCATTTTGAAATCCCCGACTTTCTGCTAACACCGGGAAAGGTAGATCTCAGGAAGATGGGATAACGGGCCAGTCGATATATGATCGAGTGACAGAATGATTCCAAATCATGTATGCTGGGTATTACGGAGGTCAAGCAAGCAAAAGCGTTTGTTGACGGTTTCCCGCAGAATGTGATCCAGCTGGATGCGGCCTTGAGGAGCCGTGATATACCGGAATCTCGGGACAAAGTCAATTCAGCGCCTTTGGTGTCTTATGGGATCGTGTCTGATTCGACAAAGTAGCTGTTTATCCATGGCCAGATTGAATCAATGGGTACCCACAGTATAGTTAATGAGTCAACATTCGTATGGAAGACAGAGCTTCCAACACTAGTGGATTACCAGGGCGGCCTATGGAAGGATCAGGTGAAGGAGATGTTTGAGCATATTGTGTGGCTGATCGGAAAGATGTCGCAAGCCAACTGCTGCAAACCATCGACTACCAGCCGCTCTATCAGATCGCATGTGGGCTGGTCGTGAACGGACAGAGGATCGTTCGCAGCGGGTTGATCAGAAATTGGGGACTCCATGGTAGATTCCATGGCATGAGGGCGATGTGGATGGGCGGAAATGAGTGGTTGCTCGTGCTAAGAGTGGCGAAAAGAGGATGGTGGGGTTGGCGGGGTGGTAATGAGAAGGAGGGGTGCAAAAGGAGGATGCAAGGGACGCGAATGTCGGTTTATTGCAAGTAGAACCGTCGAAAATGACGTATTATGCCCCTAAGGTTTTATGCCAGGCATTTCTGCATGCAACGCGCCCATGGTGCAGCTACTCTCCGCGAATCATTTCACAGTCAGGACAGGAGGATCATGAACTTAGTTGAACCACCACTATCAACGGCATCATCAGGGTCAAGATTACACTCTCATGCTGCACCGCCCTCTCGTAGCAGCAACGTCGTTGTTTTTGAGCAGACCATAGATGTAGATGAAGACATTACAGACTATTTTGACGCGCACTTCACCTCCAGGGATGACCTCGCAAAGGTCAAGCCTGCTCTGCTGGAACAAACTCATACTGAGAACCATCTGTCTCAAAAGGTACACACTAAGAGCAGGGCATCGACCACGCAGATAACATCATCCTCGGTATATATATACAAGAACATGGAATTTATTGGCCTCTTGTTTTCGGCGACGTACTTTGATAGCTCGAGGAAAGCAAGACAAGGACGGCACAGGTGCTCGGGCAAGCACAAACATCCTCAAAATTGGCACTCAATGACCTCCAGAACCTGGAATCCTCGGCCCTGAATCTAGAGGAGCAGATCGAGAACTCAGAGGCATTTGCAGCAGGGAAGAACAAGCGAGACCAGCGATCTCTGGTCGAGGAGCTGAGCGATCTCCAGAGCAGGGTCCAGGCATTGGAGGAAGCAAAGAGATATATCTTTATCGTATCCCGCACTCAAAATCTGATGTAAGTGCTGTTTATGGCAAAGTGGAGGAACAGGACCTGTCTGAAGTGCGTTTAGAGACTGACAATCCTCGTTATATATCGCATTAGATCAGAGTCCAAGTATCTTCTTCAAATATCAACAGAAAAAGCCCTAGTTCCATACAGATCGCTTGTCCAATTAGTCACCAACGCAAAAGGAACGCTTGGAGGATGCAATACCAAACTGGAGGACTTTTTGAAATCGAGCGTCAGCGAGCTTTTGCAAAACTTTAAAACCAATCTCTCGAAGTAAGCCGATGTCCATACGATCGTGTCAGAATGCAGAATCTGTGAATGATCATGGTACTTACTCGGTGCTGCCGTGTATTTTAACTTTGTTTATAGGAAGTATCAGGCATCATTGGACGCATTTGGATGGCCCACACCTATTACAGATCTGTCAAAGATTCCTGATAATCTTCAGGACGGCTTTGAACATTCCTTCAAGGAGATGCTACTTCTTCAGGAGTCGTAAGGCCTTGCGCATTTAGATGTTTCTCTCAAGGATATCGGCCTCGAAATCTTTTTCTGACACGATTCTGGTTTGTTTAAATAGGGCATATGGGGCGCTGGATCGGTCGGGCGAAAAGCCATACCCACCATTGCTAGTAACTGAAATTATGGTGGCACCGTTGATCGTAAGGTTCAGATATCATTTCGAGGGAAAGCGCCCGACCAATAGACTGGATAAGGTACGGTTTGCAGAGAGTTATTGGTTCTTGGAACGTTATGGCCACTTCTAATGACCTGACACTTTTATTGTTCATATTCATTAGCCCGAGTGGTATTTGACCCACATCTTGGAGCTCATCAAGGAGCACACCCCATTCCTTCAGGGTTACGTCCAAGGAATCGTGCAGGAAACACAGTACAGGGAGTATGACATCAAGGTATTGCTCGTTCATCAAATATAAGCCGTTGCTAAACGATCAGTCTTTTCAAGACTCTGGACTAATATATATTAACATGGAATATAGAATGATTTCATCCGCTTACTTCTTGCTGCTGTTGAGAGGAAGATCCGCCTTTCAGTTCCCGCAATGCTGGCTAGCCCGGAGATGCTATCCCATGCCATACATGAGACGCTACGCTTTGACAAAACCCTTCGTGACAACGAGTTTTATACGCCCCCGGGACAGACAACAGAGTGGCAAGGGACCGTTCAGGTGTATCTTGGCAACCGAGAATGGCTTAAAACCTGGCTCAGAGTCGAGAAAGAATGTAAACTGTCTTGGGGGGGGGGACACGGAGGCGGTTATGGATATATCCGTGCTATGGGAAGCCTGCTCTAAGACTCAGTTTATTTTCTTCCACAAATAGTTGCTGTCGCAAGATATACACAAATCATAGAGGATCCAGATGCATGGCAGCCTGCGTATGAAGACATCGGAGATAAGGAGTACATAATACCGTCAAAATCCGCAGAGAAGCTCTCGGACCTTCTTGAGATCGTCACAGGTAAAAACGATGTTGACTATCATGCAAACTACGCTGGGCTCTATATGACAGTTTCTAATCATCATTCTTGCTTGCCTTCATATGACTTAGACCGCTACAGACCGTTGCCTGTGCTAGAACACAAAACCTTCTTGTTCGATATCCAGCTGGATCTTTTGAGTGCTTACCACCGACATATTCGGGGACTTGTGGATCAGTACGAATCGCTGACATATTCGTTTGTGCGAGTGATGCCAGGTACTGCATCTACAGAAGAACTTAATACGATGGGTATTGATGGCTTAAGGAACTTGTGCCAATGGCTGTCGAGTTCGGAATACATCAGCTTGACATTGAAGGATTGGGGCGAGGATGTGGTAGGTCAATTGTTCCCTAGAAAAACGTCAATACGTTCAATTGTCCACAGCCTTGATACTCAATCGATCCTGCTGTTGGAATGTCTAGTTCTTTTTGGAGCTCTACAAGGAAATTTCGGAGAGGACTCAAAAGGTCTCCAACCCCTTGCATTCCGAGAACGACGATTCGGACGAGGAAGTGGCGCCGCAGAAATTACTGGATAAAAATGGCACCATCTTTGACGACACTGTCAAGGCGTTTGACCAGCTCTCGAAGCGGATTCAAGACCTCATTATCAGGAACATTACTAAGGAGGTGTTTTCCAGTATGAAGCCATTTGTTTCCCTGTAAGCCTTTTTGGAACATTTTCCCATATATTTGCTTGCGTTTTTATCCCAGTCACCATGTAGTACTTACTGTCGACTCACCATATTTCAAAAACCCTCGATGCTTATAGGCGCTCATGGCCACAGATCGAGTTTTTGTCTCCGGAGAGTGATGGGCTCCAATCTCAATCTCCCGTATTGACTGTTCCGGATCTTCTCTCTTCCCCTCACGATAATGACGACGTCTCTCCAGAGCTCTATCAGCCTCTGACGATCCTCACGCACTCTTTTGAGTTCCTGGCAGCAGTCTTGCCGACGAAGCATTTTATAATGTTGTACAAGCAGACGTCGCTGGAAATGCAGAATTTTTTTTGGCAAAAGATCATTATGAAGAACTCGTTCTCGGAGATGGGAGGACAGCAATTAGCGCGCGATTTCCGGATCGGACTCTTGGGTGCAGGCCGAAGGTGGATTAAGAGGCCCGAGAATTACCATCGAAAGCTGCGAGATGCAGTGATTCTGTTATCGCTGCAGAGCACAAAGGCGAACTCTCCGCCCATGGGGTCATTTAATCAGGATAGCCGCGGTAGGAAGGAGGAAACGGGGTATGCGACGAGGACGCTGGCGCAGATTATGGCGGTCCTATTTGATGAGGACTTGGAGAAGGAGGTGGTGAAAGACAGGCTGGAGGAGATTGGAGTGATGCATCTGGGGGTCTCTGAGGCCAGGGACGTAGTCCGCCGCCGTGTTGAGTGCTGGCGTTGAGGTGGAATGAAGCACAGTAGAATGTACGGCGTAAAGAGATCAAAAAGGATAGATGAAATAACAGTCGAAACTCGTTTTTATCGCATTTTCCGCGCGCAAACCTGCAATAAAACCTTAACTGGGGATTGAATTGAACCTCTCTGAACGAGCTATTCTAAAGCCGAAAAATACAGTCACATATCCGGTCACATGCTCTGCTGTTGATGCAGAATCCTTTTTTATTCTCATCCATCTCAAAGCACGTACCAGTTGCTTCACTGTCCGTCGAATATCCACTGTATTCTTAGACCTCTGCTTCGCTCTCTGTCTCATTTGCTTGAGGCCTTCGATGCTTACAAGGTCTCCGGCCAGATCTTCCAGCGTTCGAGCGGCTATGTCCCATTCTTCGTCTGCGATCGGTGAGCTTGAGTATCCGTCATGACTAACTTCTTCAGACTGGACGCTTTCTCCTTCATCTGCATTCACC